AGTCCAGCATCTCTCAGGCATCAATCTTGATACGATCTTTTGTTTGACCTTTGTGCATCTCGAGTGCAGAACGGGTTGGCACGCTCACTCAGACACGCTCGCGTGAGGAGGAGTGTGTTGTTTGCACAGCCGATCTGCACAAATCGAGAAGTGTACTAAGGCATTTGTCAGGACCAGTGAAGCATGGCCCCTGACGCAAGGATGACACGCTTGCCAGGACCATTGAAGCATGGCCCCTGCGCAAGGACGACACGCCACACGTTGTGGCTCAAGCATGGTGCACAAATCGAGAAGTGTACCAAGGTCTCGGCGAGGGGTTTTGATCTTCAGAGTTAGGGGTGGAGTGGGGTTCCGAGGGTACCCGATATCCTCGCTCCCTTTTTGTCCTGAACCCCCTTCAGGGTTGTTTGGAGCTTGATTTGAAGGTGGTGAGCTGTGCAGTGTTGATGGTGACATGCATTACAGTTCGCTAGATGATGTGCCACATAGCGTAAGGATGAATCTGCAGCAACAACAACATCAGCAGCATCAGCTTATGTCACCGGCCTTCAGCATCGTTACCGACAGCAGCCCTCATCAAACACACCCTTTTCATGCTCTGATGCAGTGGTGGCGGTGGCACGCTCGGGCCTAATCCAGGAGGTCGACCGGCTCCGAATGCATCCCACTGAGAATACCCTCTCTGCAGGACGGGCATCCTCAGGTTCAAGAGTATTGCTGGTACCCCACCACTCTTCCTCGTACCCTTCATGGAGATTCCCCGGTGTCTCCGGGGACAAAACATGATGTGCAACCGGCGGCGCATTGCTATCCGCATCGTGGCCTGCCGCAGCCCATCGAACGCCTTGCTCGGGATCTATCTCGAGCTCTCGCCGGATCGCTGCGCCCTTGGTCTGCAGCTCCTCTACCAGCATTTCCAGTCTAGTGACCCGATCGACCACCCATCGGGTGGTCTTCAAGTCATCCTCGTACTTCTCCCTTGCTCGGGCAGCTTCAGACTGCGTCCTATCAAGACTTTGCTTTAGCTGCTCAATCTGCTTTTCATACCTTGTTTGCTTTGCTGTTGCGCGCTCCCATGCTGTCGCTTGCTTCTCAACCATGCCAACCAAGAGCTGTCTCTGTTCCCCGGCCGATTGACCAACAAGACTCTCTAGATCTCCACGCAATCCGGTCAGTGCAGCCAGAAAGATTTCAAATCTGTCCTCCAGGGGTGTAGTCTTCTGTGCAGTCTCAGCCCACTTACTTTTCATGCCCACCTCAAACTCTGCAAGAAGCTTCATCGTCCGCTCATGCTCTGGGATCAAGGAGGCAACCTTGCTCGGATGATGCGCACCGTTCTGTTGCAGAATTTGCATTGCGTGGTGCAGACTCTGAAGTTTCTCCTATCCTCCAAAGTGCCTTCCGCGGCCTTTTGGACGCACTGTCCAAGCAACTCGGAACGCCGCACCAGGTCATCGGCCAATGCTTGCATGCCGTGTCGGATGTGATCAAGATCCGCCAGCTGGCCTAGCTCCAGACCCTGCAACACTTGCAGTCGCGACACCAACTCTGCAAGAAGAACTACTTTTGAGATAGACTCCTGAAAATAACTGATCCGTCCGCTGCAATGTTCGCTGCTGATGCCTGGACTTTTTCCTGCGGTCGGGGCATTCCATTGGACCGGGCCGCCGCACGTATGTGCAGAGAGGCCGGTGCTACAGTATGCTACAGTCGCAGCCAATGTCCTCTTCCGCGACCTCAACATAACCACCCAGAGGCACGACGACCGGCGCATCGAGGTTATCGCCAACGGGCTACCCCTCTGGGGCGGCGTCCAGCTCGCCGTCGACACTGCCCTCGTTTCGGCCTTCGATGCGCGGGGCCGCCCCCGAAAGCTTCTACGGTGGATCGAGGGCACAGCTTTGCAAGGCGATCGTGCAAGCCACAAGGCCGGCCAGCAGCACAAAAAGGAACGAACTGCATTGCTTTACATTTTTCAACTTGTCAATGCTTCTATTGGCGGCTGCAAAACGGGTCGATTCAGTCCCACTGGAACGTGCGTGCAGTATATCGAATTTTTTTCTGTTCCTCCGCATCTTCCTACATTTTTCCTGAGCGTGAGTCAAACGACTCGGCCATCGAGATATCCGACATGCGCTCAGCCAGCTGGCGCGCGGGCACACGGCTTGCGGGGCCTGGTTTTTGGGTCAGCTAATATCAGCGAGGACCTCGTACATGTCAGGCTCGTTTTCAGTGGGAGTAAGCTGCGATGCCTCGTTCCAGGCAATGCTTCAGGCTCATGCAAAACACGCGCGCATGCTCCCAGAGTGCACATGCAAATGCGTTATACAGCGAACTATCTCTTCAGGAAAACAAGCCATTTCACCGTCGGGGACTGAGGTATGTTTCTTCCCCGTCGCACTGCCGAAGCTGCGAGGCCGCCAGGAACACAACCTCAAGCGGAACACTAGCGGAACGTGCACACGTCAGGCACCTAATTCGGTACTTGAATGACCATCTGTTATGGTGAGAATGCGAGACGCGTTTTGGTCGCAACATAACGCAACAGTCTCCGCCTCCATGAGCTCGCCAACTTTCCGCCCAATTATGATCGACATGCAGCGGCGCGGCCGGACAGCATGTCATCAGAGTGCTGGATGTCTTTCGCTGCTTCCGCCCTGCTGGCAAGCGCCGCAGCAATGCCAGCACTCAGCCTTTCTGGAAATGCGTGTGCCAAATCGCAAAACCCGACGTCTAGGAGTGGTGCACATGTGAATAACAAGCTCAAACCACAAACGGACAGGTGCAGTCGGCCGATTGACAATTTCACATCGTGGATCAGCAGTGTTCATGCTGAGTACCCCCACTTGTTAGCCAACCCTGACCTATCTCACACGCAAACCCCATGTCCATCTTAGCAGGTTGGTTCTTCCAACGGATTTCTCTAACATTGGCCGTGCCAGTGAAAGGCAAACACAGCAAACTGGTTGCGAGTGAAAGTGCAGAAGCACAGAAAAGCGCGGGCGCCACCCCACCGCGACACCATTGGCAATGACTTCGATGCGTCGGTCGTCTTGCCATGTCTTGGCGAGCTGCTGGTACCACATTCTTGTGCCTGACAAGTGCTTTGAGACCGACTTCCGCACCCGCTATATTGCACACCCGAGCAGCAGCACGCTCGAGAGGGCCGCCCCTCGCCCGCAAAATGTCGAAGCGCGGCCAGGCTGCGAGGTGGTCGCCACCACAGGTGTGCATGGCAACAACATGGCGCAACAGGCAGTGGCAGGGGTTGGCGAAGTCCTGTGTCAGGTTTCATGCCAGGCTCGGGGTTCCAACCCCGTCTTCCCGAGAACAGATTCAAAATGGCAGTGTGCGGTTACACTATACATCGCGTCGAAACCGGCACCCCGGACACTTCCACCACGTAGAAGCCCCGGCCTTTATCAAGCACCGACACTACCATTCGACGAGTCAGCCGTCACAGCTGGAAAACTGATACGCAAATTGCAATATTGAGCACATTGTGCTTGACTTGCCAATGAGTGTCCAAACTCAAGCGCCATGCCGGCAATGGCGGCGCCGTCGTACGAAATCCGCATGTGCCAGATGGTGCAGGGCTCGCTCGTCATGTGCAGGCGTAAGAAATGCGTGAACGTGATGTGGTCGCGATGCGAGAAGGGGCGATACGTCCTCCACAGAGAACAGCTAACACTAGGACCCTTTGTACCGAGTCTCCGCAAGGCCGGAAACAACAGCAAAGCCGGACTTCAAATCGAAAGCGTTTGAGCGTTTGGCAGAGGCCCAACGGGGCCGAGGCCGTTTGCTGTGGCACAGGAAAAACAATCGTCACCGAAATCAAGCCCTGCATCCACACGAGCAAGCACGTTGAACGGGAGCAGTCGAAACTGTGCCACAGCAAATCGCGGAGTGCGGACTGGGCACAACATCAACGTGGACGTGGGACACAACCTTGGCAAGTACCACCATTTACATTGAAGCTCCCACTTCGTGTCAAACGATAGAACAGTGCCCACGTGGATCCGAACAATTTTCAACATAAAAGTGTTGCAAAACGCCATGGTCTACCATAGCTTGCCAAACTATCGAAGCTCACCAACCAGTGACACACTGCCATCGCGACTTTTCGCAAAAGCGAGAATTCCTGTGCCAACAGTGATATCGAAATCAATGCCGCGCTTTGCGTTGCCTGGCTTCGAGGACTGGCTTCGAATACAAACCGCCGGAAAATTTTAAGCGGTCAGTGTAGCCAGCAGTCTATCACTTTCGACTTGCATTGGTAAACATCACTCACTCTGTCAGTGGGTCGGTCAGTCGCCGGATGGATCGGTCTGTTGGCCGGTTTTGGTGGCGCTTGACGCGAAACAAGGAATGCTTGGACGCAGCTCCACCGTGCAATTGAAGGCTGTTACTGCTGCTGCTGCTGAATGTTCGTCCATTCGAGATCGAGTAGCGGAATACGACTCCTCCCCAACAAAAAAATCCTGGGAACGGGCATTTACGCATCACACAGTTGAACTCTTTGAAACATTGATCGTGGTTTCAGGAAGCGTCCACCAAGTGGAAGTTCAAAGACTCACCGAGCGCAATGTGTCGGCCCACGAAAATCCCATAGGAGAAATTTACGGGCCACCGCGACTGCGACGGTGGCTCGTCGACACTAGCAGTGTGCCAGCACGGCGAAATGCAAACCACCAGAAGCCGCTTCAAAACCTGTGGGCTCAACCACATCAGAGGATTGCATTTAGATGGCGGCACCTTCGTACATTCTGCGGGGTCCCGTACTTCTCGAAAAGCATTTGGGCGAACGTCTTCAAACCAGAGGGCCCGGAAACCACCTGTTTGGGCATTGACTCTACCCATCATGTGGAAACCGTTCTCGTGTCAAAGATATGCACAACATGAGCGTCTGTCTGTTTCACTGCACTCTCCTACAGAAGCAACGATGCCGACATCCATTCATTACCTTGCAAACATGAAACAAGACATGCTCAGGCTGTAGCTGCAATGGACACCATTGACGACAAGGAACTGTAGGCCTTGCACCAACCTCAACTGGGCGGCAAAGACTCACGTGCAATGCGCAGCAAACACTTGAGAGATGAACACCGAAACGACGCTGCAGGCGGCGACTCCTTCAAAGGTTCAAAGCTTGCCAAATGATTTAACACAAAACCCTTCCCACTGCTTGCACGTCTTTCAGGCAAAACTTGTTTTTGTGGAGTTTGGCTTGAGACCGTCGGTTTTTGCAACCTTCACTGTCGATGGAGTTCAAAACGACTGTAATGCTATGACGATGTGGATTGCGGTTGTGGTGATGCTGCCGAAAATGATGGTGATGACGCTAGTGGTGATGGTGATGGCGATGATGGCGATGATGGCGATGATGGTGATAATGCTGATGATGGTGATGAAGATGATGATGGTGTTGATGGTGGAGGCGGTAATGGTGGTGATGATGGTGATGACGTTGATGTGGGGGTGCTGATGATGATGACGTTGATGATGACGGTGATGACCTGATGATGATGATGATGATAATTGTGACGATACATACAATGATGATGATGGTGCCGGACATAACACACGAGGATTCGCGGTAATGACACGCAAAATAATGTCGACAGTGATGGTGTGAAAGATGACGATGGGGATGAGGATAGAATGAAAATCAACATGGCGAGATTGCTGATGTCCTCAATGTCGTCAAAAATAAGCCGAATATCGCACAGGCAGGCTTATTGGTCCTGCTGTGGCAAACAAGCTTCCTGTTCTTGCTGGTTCCCGCAAATTGAGTCTCGGGCACACGGGCTCACTCACCACGACGGCATTTTTTCAGCCACGGTTCAAGATCAGTGCTGGTTAGTACTCTTTCTTGTTCTAGCATGCGTCCGGATGCATGCATGAGCGCCTTGACATGAATATGTGCCAAACATTTATTGACATCTTGCATGGTTGCTGTTCAAAGTGTTGAAAACAAGTTGACATGAAAGAGCTCCATAGGTGCATCCAAATCTAAACTTGCTTGCCCTTCAACAAACCCCGCTCGTGAGCCACGACGAATAAACAGCTTCTACTCTTTCACAATCACCAAGACTTGATCGAAAGACCTCAAGGTCTTCGCTTGCACTCTCAAGTGTCATTGCAATTCCTCTTGTTCATCCTCAATGTGACAAGGAGATCATCACTCCATGCCGTGTTTGTCGCTCTCTCATGCTTGTTCTTCAAGAAATGAAATAAAAAATGGGCGTCTCCGCTCCAACGGCTCAAACGCGCTCATGCAATTGCCTCCACATTGGAAAGTCGATTTAGCGTGATCATCAAGCCAATGGACATTAGTGATGCATGGAAAGGAAAGGCAAACGTCCACAAAGGCAAAAGAAAAGCATTCCCAACAGGCAGGAAAAGGATTGAAAGGCAAAAGCATACATTCTCAAAGGAAAAGGAACAAAGCAAACACATGGAATGAAGATTGGCACGCGGATTGGAACCGAGAACAGCAAAACGCTGGGAGCAGAGAACGCAGATTGGAGCGAGCACCAAGGTGCATTGCATGATGATGGTTTGAGGACGATTGCCATGCTGGTGCTCGGAGGACAACGGATTGGTCACCGTGTTTGTTTCTTTCATGTTGGTTCAATGCTGATTACTTCCATAAGAAAGCAAGCTATGGAAGTCTTAATCCTGCAAGATTGTCTTTTCCAAGCTGCATGGATGCTTGCCTGTGTTCCAGTCGCCTCGTCGCGTAGCAGTCAGGAGGGCGTGTCTCAAAGTAGAAGAACAAATCCATGCAGGCCCATGATGCATGCAAGCCCAAACTGCAGCAAAGCCGCCAAGCTTGAGCTGCAAACAACGGCGCACGTCTTGCTCAGACATAACTTGGATGCCAAACTTTGCAAGCGGAGGGACTGGAAGGGGAAGGTTGCACGCCCTTGGACAAGCAGCGGCTGACACCGTCTGAACCGTGAACATTGCAGCCGCTTCTCCAGCTCTATTAGCCGAGCTTTCTTCAAGCCCTTCGAAAGAAAAGACTTTAGCCAGCAACACAGATGTCCAATGCGGTCGTTGTTATCGTTCCGGGCCGCCAAGACTCCCACACGCTCCTCCTTTATTCTTCTGGCCTGCCAGTGGATGCAAGACGCCGGAGATGGGGGTCGCAGATGTTCGGGGCCAACCAGCTGGATCTCGGGCATGCGCCTGCCTTTGTAGTTTTGGGCATCATGCAGACGCAAGAGCGCTCACCTTAAATGCCACAACCAGCGGAATTGCATTGTGCCTGTTTCTTTCATGTCGGTTCAATGCTGATTACTTCCACAAGAAAGCAGGCTGTGGAAGTCCTAATGCATTTCGCAGCCTTGTTTTCGGGGCCGCGAAACGCCCCCATTTTTGGGGTCGCAAATGTTCGGGGCCAACCGGCTGGATCTCGGGCGTGCGCCTGCGTTTGTTCCAGCAGTTTTGGGCATCATGCAGACGCAAGGTTGAAAAAGCCAGAAGGATTGTCCAAAGCAGCTGTACGCTCACCGTAAATACCACAACCAGTGGAATTGCACTGTGGAGGCCCATGGTGGCGAAGCCAGATTTGCTTTCGTTTCGTGGGCCCAGAAATGGCGTCGTCCGTCGGCAGCATCATTTCTTGTGCTTCATCCTGCTTATATATCCGCTGGAGATCAGCGTCAGTTTGCAATGTCATCGAGGGTTCTCGTAGCTTTTTCTAAGCCAGTCGAGATGATTGAGTTTTATTGGAAGGCATCGCTGCAACACGCTCACCGAGGCTTCTGTCTACGATTGCCAAGATTTATGGAGTCAGCAATAGCCAATGGCTTGCAAGATCATCAAGTTCTGCATGCTCAAACTCTGCTGCGCCAAAAGAGCAGGCAACCGTCCTAGGCATGACACTCTCTTTTGCGCTGCAACGGGCAACAGAGCGGTTCGCCGAAGGTGTCGTTCGTTTAAAGTCGAACCTGCCTTTTGAGAGGCGGTTCGCTCCCTTCGACCATTGGAAGAGCCTCTGCCGCCGACCAAGGCCCGAAGACCAGGGAGGGTGGGAGGGCCAAACACGAACTGAGCCGAAAAGTCTTGAGACAACACCGGCTCATTCGCTAGCAGAACTCTATGTTATCGCTAACGAGCAGGTTCTGCATGCTCAAACTCGGCTGTACCAAAAGAGCAGGCAACCGTCCTAGGCATGACAGTCTCTTTTGCGCTGCAACGGGCAACAGAGCGGTTCGCCGAAGGTGTTGTTCGTTTAAAGTCGAATTCCTGTGTTGTCACTCTTGCCCTTGCTGCTGAGGCGGCGCTGCACCTCTTCCTCGATCTTCTCGTTCTCCTTGCTCTCGAGGTAGTCGTCGAGTGCTTTCCGTCCACGAACCAAACGTTGTACTTGCGGAAACAGTCCGCGACTTTGTTCCAGAGAAGGCGGCCATTCACCGGTGCGTTCTTGATCCTCTGGGCTCCCTTCTTGTCTTCACACTTCACGCGGTACTCCTGGGTCTTCTTGTTGAACTCCCACACGTAGCCGAGCTGCGTGAACTCTGCTATGTTGGGGTCGACGTTGGCGTCGTCTCCTTCGCCGCTTGGTGGCTTCTCTTCTGGCTCTTCTGTCTCTACCTGCTTTGGCTTCTTTCCCTTCTGAAGTTGAGGGCTTGCAGTTTAGTTAGGGTTCATCTAGGAAACTTTTGCTTCTACCCATCCCCTCCCAGAGCACCCCGACCCGACCGCTTGCCAACATCCTGCGGCACCCTCGACCCCCCACCTCGCCCTTACGTGAACCCTTACTTCACATTGCCGGCAGAGACGGTCCCTGGCCCACCGAGCGGGAGCACCAGCTTCCGTTCATGCCAGCCTTCAAAAGTCTACCCTAAACCCCGAACCCTAAAACCCAAACCCTAAACCTACTACTGCTACTCCCACTGCCACTGCATGTCCTTGAACCATGAGAAATGCCAGCTTCTCTGTATCAACACTGATTTGCCTATCTATCTCACTGATACCACAACCCACCCTTGCCAGTGCGACTACTGCTGCATGCGCAGCAACCCACAGCTTCGGGCCCTCAACTCGAAGTTCGGAACATTGTGTTGTGTTCCCGAACTTGGAGTTCGAACACCCCCAAAATCTATGCAGAGCCACGCACGGTGCATGTTTCCGTCGCCAACAGAAGCGTGTCCATGTGACCCACTCGACCGAGCTCGCCAGCGCGGCGAAGTGCGAGCTGTCAGCTGTCCTCACGTAGCGGAGCCAGGTCTCCTTCAGGACGGCTCCTTTCGCGGCACCAGGCGCCTCTCTTCTGGCCGTCGTGCAAAAGTCCATGCAAGCACCAACATGCACAGCGGTGGATGCCAGTGGAATGGACAGCTCTTCGAAACAGAAGAGAATCAGACGAGTTTGGTGCAACCATGTCGGTCGCGCCACAAGGCTGGTGGAGTCCGCCCACCTCGGACCTGTTCGCGTCGGCAAACAGAAACTCAAACGCAGGTACAACCAAAAAGCACTTCGATTTCAAAAACAGATCTTGGAACCAGTTTGTCTCAAAAACCCAGGTTCCAACCGGTTCAACCCAGATTGAACCCAGGTTAGATCCCAGATTGAATCCATCCAGATTCAATCCAGGTTCGAACTTGGACTGAGAGAACTCGCTCCGATATAGCGGCGGGGAATAACTCTCTGGAGGAGCACTAAGAGACAATGAGGCCTTGTTTTTCTTTTGGCGTGGGCGGGCCTCAAAGACAGCAAGTTGCTGCACTCGGTCCCAGCAAGAACTACAAGAACTACAAGAAAGCAATAAAGCCGCAAAAAGAACTAATACCTGTACAAAGTGAGACAGTAGCTGCGACGTACAGGCTTAGCCGGCAAGGTCGTTCAGCTGAATTAAGTGCACGCGAGCCTGCGGATCACCGGCCCTGCTCCCCGTAAATCCTGGGTCGCGCAATGGCCAACATGGGAATTGGCCCAGCTGCCCATGAATAAAGGAAGCGCAATGGCCTGCGGAGCACCGGCCCTGCCCCCCGTAAAGGTTGGG